CTACATGCGGAAGGATTCTCAACAGTTTGTTAGGCAGTGTAAGAATTGTCAGAAATTCTCACCGATAACGAGAAGACTAACCCATAAATTTCTTCTATTGGTGAGCCCGTGACCATTTGCGCAATGGGGATTGAATATTGTGGGACCATTACCTTAGGCCCCCAACAATAAGAAGTTTCTCCTTATTACAATCGATTATATTCACAAAGTGGGTGAAAGCCGAGTCCCTAGCTAACATCAGAGACAATGATACGAGGAAATTCGTCTGGAGGAACATTATCACAAGAATCAGAATCCATAAATGCACTCGTCTCTGATAACAGGACTCAGTTCGATAGTGGTCTCTTCAAAGCTTTCTGCCAGCAGTATGAAATTTAGAACCACTATTCAACCCCAGCTTATCCTCAGAGTAATGGACAATTTGAGATTTTCAACAAAACAATCTTGGAGGAATTAAGAAAAGGCTAGAGGATGCCAAAGGAAAATGGGTGGAAGAGTTGCTGAGTATTTTATGGACGTACCGAACCACACCTTGACGCTCGACTGGAGAAACCCTGTTCCCATTAGCCTAAGGGATGGAGGCGGTAATTCCACTTGAGATTGGGTTGCCAACGTTGAGAACTGAGCTTATTGAAAACGAGTAATGACGTTGTCATCACTCAGGACCTTGATTTAGCAGAGGAGAATAGAGAGCAAGCAGCAATACAGATGGCCTCTTATAAGCAGCAGATGTCCCGAGCTTACAAGAAGAAAATTAATCCTCAGGTTTTTGCCCTTGGAGACTTGGTCATTAGGCGCGTTCTGGGCTCGGCTAGGAACCCTACACATGGGAAGCTTGAAGCCAATTGGAAGGGGCTGTACAGAGTAACCCGAGTAGGGGACAGTGGGTATTATGAGCTCGAAACTTTGGACTATAGAGAGGTACCGCGCTCCTGGAACTCACCCAACCTAATAAAATTCTATTTCTAAAGAGTACCTTTCTGGAATGTGAACTCTAAACTACCTTTGGGTAAATAAGGGTGCCCCTTATCTTGTAAATTCAAGTAGATTGATTCTTTACAATGATTGACAAAAGTCGTTAATAAAAAGTTCTCAAGGAACATCTTTCGATTTTTCATCACTAAGTACATCCTACTGCTAAGTCAAGGAGGCAAAAATCCTAATAAATTTTTAAACCTGAATCAGGGGCAACCACCCGATCAAGTCCAGTCCCTTTGCTAGGCATGACGATATAAGCTATATGGGATGAATTTGAGCCCAATTAGATCGGCGGGTTGGTGTAGAGTAGAGTAGAATAGACGCTAAAATTGCCCAAGAGGTTAGAGTAAACTCTACAAGGTTACCGAGCTCATTGAAGAAGGGCCGAATAAGGGCCAAAACTCCTAGAGCTTAAGAAATTTTTCTAAGTATAAAAAAGGTCCCCACCCTAGGGCCAAGCTCATTAAAGAAGGGTCGAATAAGGGCCAAAACTTCTAGAGCTTAAGAAATTTTTCTAAGTATAAAAGAGTTTGTCATCCTGGGACCGAGCTCGTTGAAGAAAGGCCGAACAAGGGCCAAATATTCTAGAGCCTAAAATATTTTTTTAAGTATAAAAAAATGGGGTCCTCTTCCTGGGACTGAACTCATTAAACAAGGGCCAAAACTTCTAGAGCTTCAAATCTTTTCTAAGTATGATAAATCCCTATATTGGGGCCAAGCTCAAGCAAAGAAAGGCCGAGTAATGGCCACAAGGACTTGAGCAATCCTTGAACAAACCACAAAAGAAACAAAAGTACTGAACCAGGAAATAAAACTGTCATTACACATCAAAAGAAATTACAACTTCACACCAAAAAAGTTTTTAGGCGTTTACATCAAAAGTTAAAAAATTCTCTTAAGTTTTTTCAGGAAAAAGGGGGTTGGGAGGAGCTAGGAAGGGAATAGCGAGAATAGAGCTCGAAAGACTTAGGCACTTCGACAGCAGTCAAGGCGGCGTGCCAGCCCTTGCTAAAAAATGCCTTATCCAACTTAGGAATCTGCAGAGCCAAGTTATTTTTTGCCTTTTCCATGCCTTCATCCTAAACAGAATCTTCTTGCTCCTTTGCCTCAGCCTTATACTGATCAAACTCCTCAAGAAGACTTGTATAATCGAGCTGGGATTAGGAGAGCTCCACATTCGCCTCGTGTTCAAATTCTTTTAACTTCCCAATCTCTGTCAGAAGCTTTTTGTTCTTTTCAGTCAAGCTTTGAAGAACCTGAGTTTCTTCATAGATCTTGGCAAACTCCTCATCCATAGATTCCTTCTTGGCCAAGGCTGAAGCTCGGGCATATATAGCATCTTTCATAGCTCTATCTTTTCAAGCTATCCTAGCCCCCTACCTCGTGAACTCTTTGAAGACCCTTCCAATTAAAAAGAGAAAAAACTTAAACAAAGATGGGAAAGAAGGCCTAGACACAAAAAAAAAAAGTCTTACTAGGCCCATATGTTGGATTGCTTGGCGAACAACTTCATCATTGAACAAGACTTCATTCACAGCCAAGTCTCGAGGCAAAATCACTCCCTGAGCAATCCCTACAGCAACATTGAAGTCTTTAATGGCCGAATCCGTTAAAGTAATTTCTTTCCTTTTGGCTTTAAGGATAGGGTGAAAAGGAGAATTTGTTGGCTTAGGAGAAGGGGATGCTTTGAGCTCTGCAATCTTGTGCCTTTTTGGGACAGGGTCTTTAGGGAGTTCAAACATTGAGTCATCTTGACGGGGGAATGAACAAAAGTTGGAGGATCGAGCTTGGTAGGAACAAACTCTGTGGCCCGAACCAAGTCAGCAGGATCATTAATTGGCCAAACAACATCGCTAGGTTCAAGAGGAACAAATTCACCCAGAGCCACGAATGCAGGCTCTTCTTCATGCACAGGGATCGATGGAACAGGCGGATCAATTGGCAAAGACGGTTCAGTGGTTGGGGTCGGCTCAATAGTGGATAAAAAATCTAGAAAATTTTTCACTGTTCTGTTTCGCTCAGAATTGGTAGGTAAAGCTTTCTTACGGGACCGAGGTGTCTAGTCCCAAGCAGCTTGAATAGTCTCTTGATCAACTGCAAGAATAACGTTGGGACGGTTCGGCACTACGATGAATGACATATAAGTCGGTGTATACCCAAGTAGGGCGTGAGCAGCTCGACAGAATAATGAATCATTGTAGCCCCATACTTTCTTAAGCTTATCTATCTTGACAGCACTCTCAGGGATTCTGCCCTTCATAGTCTCACCTTCAGGCATAAGACAACATAAGTCAGAAACAGTGAATGAATGAATTAAGATGAAAGAGTAAAAAACAAAGTTACTTGGTGCGCCTTCTTCGTAGGGGCAACGATAGGAAGGAGTAACACCAGCAGAATATTCCCAATTCCCAAAGACAAAGATCACATCATTCGCATGGCCCTTGTTGGAGTCTGAAAGATGGGTCACTAAATAACGATATTTCTTCCTCACAACAAGAGAATAGTTATCTCTAGTCGATTTGATTATGTAGCAGTACAAAATCTCCCATAATCTAAGGCTCAAGTTCAAAAGCCTGTTCAAAGCATCTATCCTCATCACTATTCTAAAGAAATTAGGGCAACAATGAATTGGACACATTTTCATCATTGATAATACCCAGATGAGCAAGGGATCAAGAGGGAAGCGAACTCCACCTTCTGTTATGGCTCGAGTATGGATTGGGATACTCTCTCTGGTGCCTATCAGAGGTTCAATATTACCAACGACTCGAATGTTTACGTCGTTTGGAATATTGTATTTGACTTTGAAAGCAGAAACTTCATAAAGAGTAAGAGGAACCATAGCAATGAGCAGTAAAAGAGCAGAAAAAGTTGAAGAAGGAAGGGGGTAAAGAAGTCTGAAGCTAGAAAAGATAAAGTGAAGATAGGAACGAAGGAAGTCACATATAAAAGGAGGGAATTCTAAAATACAATATTTGAATGCTAGGAATGCCGCCAAAACAAGGGGTGATGCCCCCAAAAATACGCGTAATGATGGTTAAGAAGACATAAAGTGACTGACAGACGAAAAAGTCTGTCAGATATTTTTTGGGGGTAAATGAAGAGGGTGGCTCCTTATATAACGCGTGTACTTGCATTAAATGATCCCACATGAGTAAGACAAGACCAGTCATGTGACAGAGATATCATTATACTAAGTCATCAGTCTGAAACCGAGTAGTTCAAAGAGCTTGGGAATAAGGGGAAGAGGTCAGTCTTCATCATGACTGAGCTGTTTCAAACAGTAAACGAAGAGTTAAAGAGATGTCTATAACTCAGGTGCTCTAGTTAAACGAATTGACGTAATTATAGGCCCGACAAGAAGAATTGTTGGAGAGATTTCAACAAATTCCCAAACAGAGTCGGGAGGAAGGTGTACCCCTTGAATTGAGAATCATTGAAACTTTAACTGAACAGAGGTCTATAAAAGGCATAAGGAGCAAAGGTGAAAGGTACGCTGAATTTTTCTTGTTTTCTTGCAATTCATTCAGTCCCATTACTGACTTAAGCATCTGGTGCCTTCGATCGAAGCACTTTGATCTTAGACAATTTACTCTTTTTGCAGGAAAGAAAAGACTGAGAGACCTTGTTCAGAAACTCATTCTTACCAGAAATACTAATCTTTCATACGTGTGAGAGGTTTGTCATTTTTTACTCTTACAAATATACTGATGGACATTGACGACATGAGTTTAAGGGTTACATGCATACAAATTTTAAGGGGTTTGAATATAATATTTTCAATATTTGAGAGTTTAAATAATTAAATGACAAAACTCTAACAATCTAGATGTAATTTTTCCTTGTACGAGTCTACTGGAAATATTAAGCCAGACCCGAAGACCAATTGCACCCCAGTGCAAATTGAGAACCGGAGGCAAAGGTGAATAATATACACAAGGAAAGTTTGTTAACGTTCGAGAGGACTCTTGAACAATATAGTTCATATTACTCGCAGCTCAAGCGAAGAGAGAGAAAGGGGGATGGGAACGAGAGAGAAGGACAGAGATCTAGAGCGTCTAATGCCGGTGGGAGGATTAGGAATCAGTGAGAATGGAAACTCTAAATCATCAACGCCCTCGGACTCTCTCGCCACTTCTCATCACTCCGGCAAAGAGGTCTGTGCTTTTCTTACGTTTGTAGAGGCACAATTCATATAAGTTTGCTTACGTATATCTTCTTACATTCGTATAAATTTTGCGTCAGAATTTTTGATTTATCGTATTTTTTGCGATCTATGTTGTTCGTCCCTTTAATCACCATTAATCATAATGGATATTGCACATTGGAGATATGATTACGTGTGCGTGCGTTCTTTCGTGTATGTGTTCGTTCATATAACACATGCCCATTGTTGCAAATGTGGAAAATGGGATTAGGGATAAAAATCGTGCCTTAAAAATCGTGCCTTATCTTCTTACATTCGTATAAAAATCAGTATGTTTCGCATTATCTGATGTCGCATTCTACATGGTTCTTGTCAAATTGAATATATGATGACTTATTTCTGTTTTTGTTTGTGCAGGCATTTAGCAAAGTAATTCGTAGCTGGGCTTCCAAAAAGTTTATGTCAGGATGGTTAGTTCTTCAAACCTTCTAATATTTGAAGATGCAATTAGACTTTTATACAATGCTGGGACTTGCTGGGTCACAATAGAACTGCTTTCTAACAAGTAGTTTAGAAAGTTAATTCTAATACAACATATAAAATGATTCTCAAGTTACTAGAATAATATGTCAGCTAGAACTCCCGATGCGTTTGCTTAATCTCCAACGTTGATTCACCTGTCCACCTAATGATATCTATTGCAATCACAGCGGCAGTTCTTTTAAACCCTAGTATTAAGTTCCAACCTGCTTTTTCTCCCTTCCTTTGGACTCCCCACGGCCTTTTTTCTCTCTGCTACGCAGAACTTATAGCTTTAACAAGAGGATCATATCTTGGATCAATTGATCAGTGCATATGCTAACAAATTTGCATCAAGCTCTTTGCAAATAAATCTTTATATGAAAATTTTAGCTTGTGCCACATTTCTTAAGCATAGTAGTAGACTAGTAGTCCCTTTACCTTTGCTTAATTTCCCTGATACTCTTACTTAACTAATTGAGGATTCTTAAAATGGAATACAGTCCTTGCCATTTTTCTTAACCTATGCCAATCAAAAGGAAACAGATGGGCCATTATTCAGTTTGGTGTTTGTTAACCAAAGGCTCTGCGAGGTGTGAATTTGATACAAATCTGGCTTTTGACAAACTTTGCCACAAGGCCACTATCCTTGATTCAAATCAGCAGCGTGTACCATTCCACCATGAGATGATCCTCAAGTCCAATTGCTTTAATCATGCTGCACTACCATCTTAATGAAGGCCTCTTTGGCAGTGTTGGTGGCCCATAAAGCCCTAAATTGTGACCAAACATAATATGAGTTTCTATTTAAAGAGTGTAAAATCGTGAGCTAACAATTACCCTTTAAATGTTGCAAACTGCAACCGTCTGAAGGACATCAAACATAGTTCTTTTACTTTTATGGAAATGCATGACACATACTTGCACAAATATTGGGATGATTGGCAATTGACAGGATTTTTACATCATCTTGCAGTGTCATCTTACTTCCCATAGCCATCACATTCTATGTCACTTGGTGGTTCATTCATTTTGTAGATGGGTTCTTCTTCCCAATCTATACTCATTTGGGCATCAATGTATTTGGTTAGTATATTAGCTTTCTAAATTTTATTACTTTGTGTGTTTGAACATAAATGCATCGCTACTTGGTACATTTCCGGAATTTGACTTATTCATGATAACAGTATTTAAAACTTGTCAATGATGGCATCCAGTTGCCTATGGTTAGTTGACACATGGGCTATTAAATGATTACCTATTGATATCTCTGCATAGGGATCACGGGTAGTGAAATGGAGAAATGAGTTGTAGCAACATCAGAAATGGGATCATATTTATGAGTTTCTTCTTTGATAAAAATGTCATTCCAACTATATTTCAGCACTACCGATTGTTGTTGTTTGGCTTTTTTGTACAATAAGCTTACTTCAGTAAATCATTTATTTGCACACAACCACAACAACCTCCTATCTTTTATCTATCCTGTCGTGAATCCATTGAAGGAAGGAGATTGTGATGTTTATAAAGTTATTACATAATGTATCATTGTTTAACTTGAGAAAATTGAGAGGATGTTCAAAATGGATATAGCAAATGTGGCCAGATGAATGTTTTCACCACTCCAATGAGGCAATCCCGTGTTAACCTCAATGGCAGTAGGTTTCCATATGCCACCAGGCTTTTTATTTCACTAATCCTATGTGAAATGACTTGTGCTGAGCCCAGATCTATCTGGGTTAGGTCTAGTTAATTAAGTAAGCCCAAATTAGCTACAAGATTGGTCAAATCCAGTTTATGAATTCGACCCAGACCAAAGTTCAAGGAGTCCAAGAAGATTAGTGCACGTGAGGAATAATTACCGAGATAGCCACTCTTCAAGATTAAGACTATCTCTGATTATACCAATCCTTAGTTGTAGCTATTCACTCCAAAAGACTAGTCACCTGTCCCTTCACGCCACCACCTCAACTAAGACTTTGTGCCTATAAGTTATAAGTCATCTCCATATGAGAGGGGTATCTTTCTACATACTTTACACAATTATTTCTCTCATAGCTACCAAGAGCATACCCGTGCTCTCTCTTTCTCACCTACTACTTCATCAATAAAGACCGCTGGCCACCGTTGCCGTCTTCAAAGTGGAGTAGGTCACTCTAACCGAACCACTATACATCTATGTGTTGCTTGTGTTGATCCAATATTTGTCTCCTTCATTAATTGCTCTATTGATTACTTCATTAAACCATACACTCGACTGTTGATTGTACATAAGTTTATTTTGTGCATCATCAATTTGCATCTAGAAAATTCTATTAATATTAATTTCGGAGGGGATAGTTTCTGAATGATATTTCCTTGAAATAATAAGAAAGAGGAACAAATGTGCACGCATATTTTTCTAGAAATGCATGTGCTTAAGTTACTTACTATTGATAAACGGTAGATGGATTTATGAAGGGAACAAACTGAATTTGTACCCAATCAAAGAAGTTTAACCTCCTTGTTAAGGTGATGAAGAAATAATTGACTGCTTCCTGTCACTTGTTCAGTCTGAAAGAAATAAACTATCATGTTTAGTTTTTAATTTGATGCGCAGGTCTTGGATTTGTGACCTCCATTACGTTTATCTTCTTGGTTGGAGTGTTCATGTCGTCATGGTTGGGTGCTTCTGTTCTCGGTTTGGGCGAATGGTTTATAAAGAAAATGCCCCTCATGAGCTATATTTACACTGCTTCAAAACAAATTAGTGCAGCAATTTCACCAGGTAAACCTTTTCAATTCACGCTTGAGTGTAAGCATTTATAATACTAAAGCACAGACATATTAATTGCCCAGATCAGAGTTCACATGCCTTCAAGGAAGTAGCTGTCATAAGGCATCCGCGTGTTGGAGAATATGCATTTGGCTTCATAACTTCAACTATTATTCTCCGTAAAAGTTCCGGTTCTGAGGAGTTATGCTGCGTTTACGTGCCAACCAACCACCTTTATCTTGGAGATATATTCCTTGTCAACTCGAAGGATATTATGAGGCCGAATCTCTCTGTTCGAGAAGGAATTGGTAAGAATCTGAAAAATCACATCAAGTTATGCAGATCTGTTGGATTGCTTTGAATATAACCATTATTTGCTCCTGGTTTTTATTATGTTTCAGAGATTGTCATTTCTGGGGGCTTGTCAATACCGCAGATATTGACCATAGTGGATACACAAACCATTCTTTCTCCAAGAGTTGGGAAATTTATAATCCCTCAAGTTTAAATGTGGTCTCCAAATACTGATACTATTCCTTATTTCGAAGGTGACATAAGTTTTATGGACCGAGGCACTTGATTTGTCACCTGAATGAGAGTTAGTCGAGATTGACGGCCTAGAAGGTGGGACAAACTACTTCCAATACACCACTATAATCTTTTGCATACTAGGACCTTAAATTATTGTTTTTTAATGCCATAGAAAACTAGTGTCTCTAATTTTATAGAATTCCTTTTTTTTTTTTGGTCATATTGAACGATAAGCTTTTTCTTTCTAGGGCACCTTGAATGTTCGTTTTTTGATGTTCTTGGAACTGCTATTGGCTGGTTTAGCCACCTACAGTCAACGGTAGTTAGTGGCTCCATTTTTAATATTGTGCTGTGCATTAACATAATATAAATTTAGGCACGGTTAGTAAAAAAAAAAATAATAATTAAAAAAATAACATATGTCGACAATCAAGATTAAAATTCAACAAATCTTCCTTAAAATTATACAATCAAAAAGCAAATTATTTAGCATCCCTGATACAGCGAGAAGAAAAAGATAGGCGAGAGAAGATTTACTCTCACTTTAGTTAGCATGAAAATGTATGGATTGATTAGAGTTTTCAAGATTGGAGAAAAAAATTTTTGAGGATAATTTGAGCCATTTGATTGAATGAATCTTAACTACTCTTGTGGTAGGCTAATTAAAGGATTCAAAATTAATTTTATCTTATTAGTATAAATGAAATAATAATTTATTTTTTATTCATTTTCTATAATTATGCAATTCAAAATTAATTTTGTCCCATGGTTTAAAAAAAAAATTAGGAGAGAGAAGACTTTGTTTGACTTTGTTTGTATGAAAAAGTATAGGGTAGGTGAAATTTTCAACTTCAGGGAAAATTTGACATTGATTAGTGTAAGCAAGTATGAGTTAATTTGGGAGGAAAAATATTTTGGTGATGATTTTTTATTATTGGATTAAATGAATTTCAGTCACTCTTGCGATAAATTAAATTAAAGAATTCTAAATAAATCCAATTTTATTATATAGATATAGTGGGAGCTCAACTCCTATGGCTAACAAGCATTTGAAGTAATGTTTATATCAGCTCCATAGGCAGAATACAGTTCTTCTAAATCTTGTCCCAATTTTTTGATTGGGTGACGCATGTAAAACATATGATCAAGATCGTGTGTGGATGTGCGTTTTTTATTTTGCTAATGCGCACATTGAATCATGAACTTCCATATGAAATTTATTAGAGTTTAACCCTCGTTTACAAAATCGATCTTTTAAAAGTTAGATATTTTTTATTTTGTTCCTATACCTTGAGCTAAGAGTTATGACTTTCCAATGAGGAATTTTCATGGTAATTGTATCTCAGTTATTTGGTCGTGACACATGTATAGCATGTGATCAACATTGTGTGGTGGTAGGTGGTGCACCATAAGTTGGGCCCCGAAGGAAAATGGTTAAATTAAACCCTCTTAATATTTTACTAGAATAACACAAATAATACTAAAATATAATCAAAATATTAAAAATAATATATATATATATATATATATATATATATATATATATATATATATATTATATATTGCTTCCGAAGATTCAAAAATACGAATTAAAATTTTGAATTCAAGTCCTGTTCATGAAAATTCAATTGTAGAATCCAAATTCTCGAATGTAATTGATAGAGGAAGAGATTCTAAGTAGATCTTTCTTCACGATTATATACGTGGAATTGTTAGACATAACTTAGAGAGGAGTAAATAGGTTTATTAAAATTATGCTTAGACAACCACCAATTCTAAACCTAAAATACCACAATTAACAATTAACATGTTAAATTGCCAATTAAGAATATGAACCCTGTTTTCCCCACCAACTTGAACAACCCTTCATGTGAATTGATGTAATGATATGTCAAGTGATTAAATTACAATCAAATTTATTGCAACAATGATCCCCCACCAAGATAATGATTCACAAAACTCTAATTGATGAATTTATCGAATAAAACATTACAAAATTATTTAATCGAACACATAATGTGCATGTATGCTATTGCAAGTGTATATGTATAATAAAGCTACTAAGAGGCATACACAAAAATAGTTTGTTGACGTGGAAACCCAACTCAGGAAAAAATGCAAAATTGTTCCCGGTTCACTTAGCCTAATCCACTAAACTCAAAGTTGATTTACAATACTTGAGTCTTATACCTCAACTAATACCATAGTTAGATATTCAATTCAGTTGCAAATCTCTCCTCCGGAGACCTACCAAAGTTATGAGTAACTTCACTTTTAGGAGGCTGAATCAGAGTATTAGAGGTTTACCCTAACTTGAGAAGACTTACCCTTTATATAGATCTAGAATTAGGTTTGTCCTAGAGTCCAAGTAAACACAAATTTGAGAACCATTGCTCAAGCTGTCGAAGAGGGGTAAAAGAAATATTGTCACAAGAATGAAAAAATGGTTCAAACCAGATTAGTGGAGCAGAGCTTGCTCGAGCTATCTAAGGATCACTTGAGCTGTTTGCAAGACCACTTGAGCATTCTGAGAAAGGCTAGAGGGCATTTTCCACTGTCCAACCCATCAGCCTTACCTGATTTTATGACTAAATATTCAAAGCCACTCTAGCCGACCCAACAAAAATTTGGCCTATTGAGACTAAAGATTCTTGCTTAAAAATAGGGTCCGATAGAAGACTAATTCGATGGTTTCAAAACACATTTACGATTTTAGAAAAGCTTTTTCATGAAAAGCTAACGAATCATTCATAGTTATCCCTAATTCCTTTCTAATTAGCCTAAGTCTACAAATAAAATTGAGGGTTCTTAGGTATCTAGGTCACTACATTTGTCCTAAGTTTGAAAGAAGGTGCATTTGAGATCTTGGTTTGGCTTTGTAGCTTGAAATCCGTCATTTTTTTGTCACTTTTAGAACTTGATCTTTGAAGCATCACGATCACGAAATTAGGTTGATATTTATATGAAGAATTCACAAAATTAACTAATTACAATCAATTTTCTAATAATCTCCCCCTTGGACAATTTCATGACAAAATACAAGAGAAAAAAATTTAAAAGGGAGATTTTGTAAGAGGTACAAATTTGGAAACTTTTTTAACTTCAGGTCTAGCCTCAATACTTTTCAGGCAAAAGGTTCATAAAATCAACCCTTGACAAAAATATCCTTCACAAAGGTGGTTATTTAAAAACCTACACCATTATCTTATTCTTATAATTATTACCACCACCATCATCATCCCATCGCCGCCACCACCACCATTCGCCACCTCCCACCACTGCCCACCAACACGCACCACTCACCGCCCACCATCCACCATAAAAATCGCTGCCCACCACCACCACCGATCATCGCTACCCATCGCCGCCAACCATTATCACCCAAAAACCCGCCACCACTACCAGCCAACACCACCGCCCAACAACACCATAACCACACACGGGTTGGCACCCACCACCACCAATGCCACCCACCATCATTACCATCCGCCCATCACCACCATTATCAACTATCACCTACCACCACCACCTCTACCACCAACATTACTTGCCTCCGCCGCCCACCACCACCACCACTACCATTACCGTCAATCAACACCATTACCTGTCGTAGCCCACCATTGCCACCATTGTCGCCAACCATCTTTACCCAAAATTCTCCACCACCACACACTGCCACCACCACCATCATCCCCGCCAACCATCACCATAATTTAAGTCTTTAAAAATGATAAATTAAAGGACAGTGAATGTCGATTAACAATAAAATTGTATAGTAAAATTAAATTGCACAGTAAACTTAAATAGAAAATTGCATAGTGAACGTATTAGACTCAATACTTCTTGAATTCTTCATGTGAAGTGATAGTCACCTTTTTTTCAATCCAGGAAACCCATCGAAAACTCACTGAGAATCCCCCACAAACCTATTCTTTATTCTACTTTAATCAATTTCATATTAATGTGCACCGAAGCCAATCTAAAATGCGTTGTGGCACACGAAGAGGAATCAAAAGCAATCAAAGACAAAGAGAAGAAAGAGAAAAACAGAGGATGAAGAAGAAGAAAAAACATATATACACCGACGACAGTGATTGATCTATCAAACATGATGCTGTCTTATTTTTACTATTCTCTATCTCTTTCGAATCTTTCAACTCTTAAGACAAATATTTTCTTAGATCTGCCAATTTTGATAGCTAGCTATTCAAATATTTTCTTAGATTTGTGTTTGACTGTCTTCTCAGAAAAATTTCACCACACTTGATTTAGATCAAACAGTTGGAACAAAGAAAATTGTGAAAAAGAAAAAAAAAATTTATGGTGGTATTAAGAAAGACAATGTAGAAATAAAACCCTAGAAATCGTGAAATTATTGAAACGCTAACATAAAAGCGAAAGTGGAACAATCACAAAATAGAGAGAAACATAGTCGTTTATTGGAAAGTGAGAAGCCATTCGAGATCTGAGAGTATTGGAGAGAGAGAGAGAGAGAGAGAGAGAGAGAGAGAGAGAGGACAACTAGAGGCATCAACAACAAATGTGTGAATGCTAAACTATGGCATTTTTGTAATAAATAAAAAATAATATAATTAGTTTAGATTAATGAACAAAAACGTTCAGTTGAAATGGATCTAATAACTTAAACAGTCCATGCTAGGACCTAGTGATAAATTAGGTATAGAAATTGTAGTTTTCAACAATTTTCATAATTTAAAATTATAACTCAAAAAACACTGAGAACAAAATGAATTCTAAGTAATATTAACATATTGTAAAAGTCCCACAATCTCAAAAATTAGGTTCAAAATTATCTTTAGATGAATACTTTGAAAATCATAGTCCTGTACATGAAAGCTCAACCAATACTTTGTTAAATGCATCATATGTGTAAATGACATAATATAATCATATTTGTTGGGTAAATAATATGCGGAATGGATCGTCCCTTATGATTATACATGTGGGATTGACATA